CACACAGAATTAAGAAATATAATATCAAAATTAAGATTCTAGAGCCGTTAGAAGCTTTTCTAATATAATAAAAAAATTGATATTGTTTTTAACGTTTTGTGACCCACACACATAATGTTTCAGTGGGGATCGGACCTTTTGTCCTCAAATTCCACTTTCACATTGTGTAAAACCCTCAAAGAAAATTTACCTCTTATCTGAAGAAAAATGAAAAATTTACTCTTAAAAAAAGAAGAGGAAGTTAGTAAAAAAAGAATAAAATCCATCTCCAAAGAAATTTCAAAAACCCTAAAGAAGACTTACTTCCTATCTGAAGAAAGAAAGATCACTTTGCCTGTTGCTAATTTGTATGATATTCTATCAAAATCAGCTGATAATCTAATATTTTTTGCCCATTTTTCCATAAACTCCAAGTTGGATTTAGTGATTTTACTACTGTCAATCCACAATCTTTTGACAATTCACTGAGAAATCCCCAAAATCAAACAATGTATAGGATCAATTATCAAAAAGCTGATAAGATTAAAATATGATAATTTAAGCATTTCTGATTATCTAACATAAGTAGTTGAAATATGATGCTTCCTTTTATCATTAGTTTTACATTATAGTTATGCTTCAGCATTTTGCTGATGTTTGATAGGGTCCTGATTTTTAAACTATTCATTCATATCGTCAAATTCACCAAAATTTACTCTATTGCTATCATCACTACTTACTTGTATGTAATATCTATGACAACTGATTAATGCAAAGATATAGCCATATAACTTTCTTACAGTTGGAAACTCATTAGAACAATAAATAACTGCTACACAAATTTTTTTTTCAGCTGGATGAATGGATGATACTGATAAATCAAAACTATTTCACATCTTCAATAATACATTGATGATAGGTTTAAGATAATTATTAATTCAGTACAATTTTGGTTCATTAGGTCCTAATAATAAAACTAATGTAAGCATATTCTCCTTTTTAAATCTAACATCCTGGGGAGATTACATATTACACCATAAATTACTTCACACTATATGCTGATGACTCGAAAGGTTAAAACTAATTAAGGTTAACCATAATTCTTAAATATGAGTCTGCTGTTTCCTTTGTGAAAAATTAAGATATATTAAGAATATCTAAGTGTGACAGAAATGTTTTCTGATTCGTTTACTTTCTAAGAAGTTCTTCAAATTCTGATTTTGAAACATTGTAATTAATTGTATTTTTAAACACGGTAAGGTATATACTATTTTTAGATGTCACATATATCCTTTAACAGTTGGGATCTTTTTCAGGAGTTCAGTTTTACAGGGTTTACGTTAGATTTTTATTAGATGGTTTAAAAACTAATATGGTTGCATTTGAATCTTGATTGCTAGTTTTTTGATGAAGTTAATAAATAATATCTGACATTTTAAACAATTTATTATAATCAGAACATACTGCGTATGTCTTAGATTGTTTCTTGATTCCTAATAATTTCTATGCTATGTAAGATGTTATTAAAAACTCTTAGAACTGTGTTTGATAGCATCCATCAAAACATATTTAAAGAACTTATCAAAGCATTAATGGTAGTATCTGAAATTTAGAATCTTTCTTAATATTTGAATATTCAAGGAAGAATCCACAATTTATCAAACTTAATATTTATTTCAGAGTATTTAAGATCTGAATCAGTATCTATATCATTATGATCAAAAGGAGTATACTGCTTATCGGGAGTATCATTATCATCATTTAGTATTTGTTTAATATCATCCATTAGTAATTTATCAACATCCAAGTAGAAAACATTTTCTTCATTATTAGTTAAACAAGAAGATTGTTCAGATTCTTTATTCTGATTGATTCTGCTACTATTCACTTGACAAAACTGATCGTATCTTCATCTTTTTTTTATAATAGTTTTCAGTTTCATATCAAAAATATGTTGTTTATTATCACTAGATAAAGCTAAATCGTAATCAAATATCTGGATATCTGCACTAAAATTTTTTTGTTGAAGAGATGTAGAGTAACTGGTTGATATTTTACTGATATAGAACTAGAAGTGATTCTTAATCTTGGATCTTTGATGTAATGCTGTTTCTTTTCTTTTTTGTCAGATTTTTTTGATTTAGATTTCTCCAATTGCAATCTTTTTTTTTACTGCATAATATTTGTTATGAGTTCTTGAATCGACCCAATTATTATTATACTTTTTACAATTACATCGTACTTTAGATCTTATTTTGGTAGTTTTGGTAGCCATTAATATAGTTGATTGTTCTCTATTAGGATGTCTGCTTGTAAATTCTTTGGACATTTTTTATGATAATAGAGAGTATAAGAAAGAGTATATATATTACAATATATTAAGCATATATATATATATATTCATTTGAAAGTTTATTATAAATAATATAATTAACCTTTAACGGAATTTATAATTTCAGCTGAAATTATTTATAAGTTTTGATAATGCTAGCAGGAATGATCAGCAATTTTCTCTAACGTTAATTATTTGTACTAATGTCTAATTTATTTTAATCAAAGCAATATTGTAATATCAATGTATAGCAAAATAAGGATTAACAAATTTATAAAATATATTTATTTAGTTAATAAACGAATATTTATATTATTATTTAAAAAAAAAATAAAATACTAAATCAGTCTTTAAATT